TATGCTAGTTTACAGTCATTTGTGACATATCAAGAATTCAAGCCATTATTAATCTGTCAAAGTGGTTAAAAGCTACAATACTTTGTACAGTAATATTAAATGTGAAGTTTTGACAAATTATTTATTTTACAAATTAGTTGTAAGGGCCAGTTGTGTCCTCTTATCACTTATAAGAAGTGCAATTGTAATCCCTGTCATCACTGAACACGAGTCACAATTCATTTTGTTCCACACGTTTCATCAAAGATAACTCAACACCATTGAACTCAAACTTACAAATGTCTAGACTCTAGGTTCTTTGCTGTTTAGTAACAGTTTTGTATGATATGTTTAGAATTGATTCCAACCTGATCTTAACTGTCCCTTTTCATTGACTCTAATACTTCACTTTAACCAACTATTATTAAATTATTAAATTTTAATACAATTCTTTAGTGTAAATTACCATTTGAATGAATTGATCATTTTAGATAAATATTTAAACTGATAAGTGGATTGATAAATAATGATACTTGACACTGCTAAATATTACCTTTGATTTGAGTTTTGAGAATTAGTGATTAGAGCCACAAGTTTTACTCATTTGGAATTACCTGTTATAAGTTACTACTAATCCTCATTACTAATTATTACTCGTAAGTTTATTAAAATAATTGTGTACACATATAGCAGTAAAGTTACTTAATTTAAAAATTATTTATCATATTTACTGAAATATAGAGTATAAGTATTTGAAGATATTATATAAAACAAATAGTATACAAATATAATATTTTGAGTATACCTATAATTTATAGGCTATAAAAATTAATTAATTATGAAACTGAAACTTGATACATTCCTTATTAATATATTTCCCCGCTATTTAATTATTAAAATGAAAGCGTTTTAAAAACAAATATTCTAATTAAATAAAAATAAAATATTTATAAAAAAGTACAGAATTGAAAATGTGCAAGTATTTTTTATATTATTTTACATTATTCTTATCGCAAATAATTGAATGTAAGACAAATATTACGATTAAGACAAGTATTAAAATGATTAACTCATTTTGAAATGACAGCAAATGTGGTGATTGGGAGTGAAATATGTGAACTCGGATGCGAAGAATCGGAATTAGATGTATATTTGAATGAATGCCGGAATGCATGTGATGTCAAACTTAAAGGCAAAGCACACAATAAAATGGAAGAGTATTTGCGGTGTATGTCCAGCAAATGTCTGGAGGAGGGGAACGGACCTATTGAAGAGATATATTTGGACACGGCTTGGCTTAACTGTTCCGCTCAATGCAAACGCAATGAGATGCTCAGCGCTCACGAGTCCACACAAAAGCCCGTATTTCACATTCAATACCTCTCTGACAGACAATACGATAATTTCAAAGAAATTAATAAAATTGTAAAAATAGTAAAAAAGATTCGCAAAAAGATAGTGAAATCTTCAACAAATGTATAAAATTCTTGTTTTTATTAGTACGGTATATACGGTATACTTATTTACAGGGTTTTCAAATAATTAAATCAATGATTTACTGTATTTATGATAAAAGAATACCTAAAAAAACTAATAAAACTACTGTAACGTCGGAATTGTGTGGAATTCAAATGAAAACAATTCAACCGGTTTTTAAAATTCCGATGAATTTAAAATGTAATCATTTAATAAATAAAATCAGTATTGACTGAAGTTTCGACTTAAGGCTTGAGTGAGAAATAGAGTTTATTTTTGATGGTTTGCTTCTCAGGATTCAATCGCTTCAATATCTGAGCGATAGTGTGAACCAAATTGCCTTTTTGTGAGACCTTATTCTTGAACTTCTGAAGCAAATCAGTACAAGTCATCGGTTTTCGCATTAAGTATCGACGAACTG